TGTAAGATTAGAGACTTACAAATACACAGTATCAATTACAGGGAGTTTATTCCTTATGTTTCCCATTTAAGAAACTTATGGCAATGTTATGTTACATGTGCTTTACTTATTTATTCATATTATAATAATAATAAATATGTGATGCTTTCCAATATTTAAAACTGTTCGTTTCAATACAGCCTTACTCAATAATTTAATATACCAAACCTGAGATTCCTCCGTAAGTAACCTTTTAAAGTTTTATTCTAGGTCTTACCTTAAGACTTAAACAAGATGATAGTCAGAGCATCCACTTTCATTGAGGATCGCAGGCAGCCCTTCCTTTGTTAGCACATTAACAATACGCAACAAACTAATTCCCCGGAGCGCAGCTATTTTCACCTAGTGCTTAACTAGGATATCAAGCCGAGCCGATTTGTTTACAAACAAGGCTTGACGGAGAGGTATTTGAGGCAGGCTTGTGTCCCGAGCCCGGCGGGCTCACGGGATCAGGGGCGAAGATCCCAACCTTGAACTTGGCACGTCACGCCCGCAATCCGCCATCGCATCGAGACGTTCACGCTCACGCTTACCTCACCCACCGCCGCTGAGAGATTGTATATACTTGGATATTCTTTTTTCTCACGGGACTACGTTAGTCGACGTGAACTTTCAATTGTTTGTTGTTGTTTCAGTGGATACGTTGTAGCCTACGACATATTCCTCATTTGTTGAATACTGAGTTGAATCAAGTTTGAATATATCTGAGACACGACATACCAAAATTCTGTTGAATACATATTCAATATGTTTGAATGCTATATCGAGAAACTCATTGAATTTTTATAATTGTTTCGATGTATTCGAAACTTTCGTGGCTTCGTTGCCTTATATCGCAGCTAATACATAAAAAAGAGGAAATGCGATCCATCAAACATAGCTTAATATCATAACAACAAAAGCCATGCAACACGAAACCACTTATTACAGTGACGAACAAGCTTCTCAAAGTCTGTCCTCTCGAATTCAACATCCTTATAAAGTTTAAAGACTTGCACAGACGATCGACCGTCTGGTTCGATACAATGAAAACATCGTTAGGAGCGTCGCGAGAACTTTCCTCGTCACACGTGCCACCGTGCGGCTGTAGGCCGCCCGCCTGCACCCGCTGCCAAGCCTGGGTGAAATATATCCGGGTAGGGTAACCACGGTGGGATTGTAAATTTTCACGCCGGATATCCTCAGAAAAAGTTAAGTCACTAAAAAAAGAAGAGATCTAACTGAAATAAAAAAAAAACTTAATTGCACTGAAAGCAAAATAATTTAATAGAATTCGAAGAATTCTGTCACCTAAGTTTAGATTTATCACTTATCTGCGAAACCCTCATAATAATAATATGCAAGAAATATTTAAGTCGTCAAGGTTTCTGATTTTGTTAATAATCAAATTAATGTTCGTATATACCTTAAATTATAGATTATGAAAGAAAGCTGTTTCAGTGTCCATTTTTGGATAAAATACATGGTAACTATAATCAGTCATCGTCCATGACTTATATCCGGGTGGGCACGCGTAGACGCGCGGCAGACGGCCCTTGAACTTTGTTGGCGACTTCACCCGGCTACACCCGGGCCGGGCGTGCGTAATGTGCGTGAAACGGCCCGCGGTACATGTTGATGGGACGCCATTTGTCTAGTCCGCGCTTGTGGGGTGACGATCACGAATGTTTTTTGACTCTGGGTATAGGAATATATTACTTTGCAATGTGTCGTCCCTTATTATGACAAATTCAAATAACTGAAATTATCATAATAAAGATTTACTCTATGAGTGGCTATTGTGAATATGGATACGAGCTTCAAAATGTCCATGATGCTACACATTTTCCTGAAGTTACGCATTTCGCCCGGGCAAAAAGAGAAAAAATTTCCTACGATACAAAGTTCATAATATATCTTACTAAAGTACATATTTAATGTGTCTAACTAAAAAGAAATTTGAATAATTAATTAGATCAGTTTGAAATTTTCACTGAAATTTCGTTTCGCGTATTATCTGATGATTACAACTGAAAACGTAGTCGTTGATAGGCTAAGTTGTTTAATTAATATGATGTTGAGAGAGTTGAGGGTTCAATCATCCCTGACCTACCCGAAGCGACGGTCCTGGATGGATCTGAGATTTGGACGCACCCGGGTGGTTACCCGGCCGGTCGATAACCCGGCTCTCGCGGTTACTTTCCGCCCCGGGTATTAACCCCTTTAATTATAGTAGTATTCTGAAACGCTTCTATGTAATATGTTTGTGATACTTTCCTTATTATCTATATATGATGATAGGGCCTCTTCTTTCAATCAATACCTATAAGCATTGACTTCATTTTGTAGTTTCACAACAAAAACTATCTATGAATTTCATTTTCCGAGGTTCCTATCAAAATTAATTATTTTTCTGAGATTCCAATATAAAATAGAAGTATGGGTATATAACGGGGCTATCTAATGGGATTGCCATGGCTATTGCTATCGCTTACGATTTCATTTTGTTATTTCAGACCGCCGAAGGTTTTCACAGGCCGACCTCACAGCTCATTTTCCTTAATATAGTTATTTCTAATGCAAAAGAAAAAAAAGAGCGCGAGACATTTGAAAACCTCCGGTGGTCAGGAATTAGAAAGAAAGAAAGAAAGAAGAGACTTGTACTTCAGTCATGGATGTTTAATATGTATTTCTATAGAAATATGCTTATATATGTACAGTATATGTATTCTATCCGTTACCCTGGTATCCCATAACACAAGCCTTACAGTGCTTACTTTGGGGCTAGGCTAATTGGTGTGTGTTGGAAATATTTATGGAAATATTTATTTATAAATTATGGCAGCCTCTTACCATCAAGCGGGTCATATGCTAAGAATCTATTTTGGTTACAACCAAACTGGCTACCCATCTTTCCCAGCTGTCATCCCGTAGCATATACGTACGAGTGCATGATGCAATCACACGGTCCATAACCACACATATGCCGTGTCACTCACGTCCAACACACGTCAGTCAAAACAAACCGAGCAGACACCAGTTGACATCACCACCGGACCGGCAGTTCATTTGTAATTCATCCGATAGTTTTTCTAGCCGGTCGGTCGGTATCTATAAATCAAACGCCTGACCTACGACAAGGAAACTAGCTGGGCGGTGTATCCGGCTTTTTATCTTGTGCCCGGTACACCCGGGTCGGACGGCACGTCCGGTCGATAACCTGCATTACATCGATTGTCTAACGTTTTGTATTAGATTTATTGAATGAGAATGTTACCTACCTAATTTTGCGTGAGTTTGAGGTTGTGCGGGTTGATAAGTATTTATTTACCAAATAGTATGGATAATCCTGGAATAAATCCCTTTGTTAGTTTTTAACTTGAGCTTTGCCATGTGACGTTTTTAGAGCGGTTTGTGTCAACTAAAATACATAATTTTTCCGCTTGTATTTCTTCGTTACTTATATAAAAAGGGCAGGCAGCGTAGTTATTTTCTTCATGATATTTATATAGAATTTGGCAGACATTGTTTAGGGTAATTTTGTAGTAACTAAAAAGACGTTTTAATATTATTTTTTTAACATTACTTTATAATTTTCACTAATCTTAAACATTTAAAGTCGATTACAATGATATGAACAAATAACTGAAACACAGTCTCTAAAAGTGTGACACTTTGAAATACATTTTTTTCTAAATTAAACTTTGAACTAAGCATCTCGATGGCCATCCAATCAGCTATATTATTGAGTTGGTTGACATGTCATACGACTAGTTAGTAACATAAATAGTATTCGTCATCATTTGATATCCATTCCAACAGACAACGTATTTAAATATACATTGTGATAATTATAACCGCTTGCTTCTTATCATATAACAAGAAAAATATGTACTAAGTATTATCTATTCGATATCTATTTTAGATACCTAAAAATGCACTTCTCGACATGTTCCCAACATGTCAATAAGGAAAGTATTTTCGTGGAAGCCAAAAAATAAAAGAATTACTTTTTAACGAAAACGCTAACATTGTTTATTGAGAAAAACAAGTTTTCTCAATACCTATCTTTAACCGGAAAAATTGGTACTGTTCCAAATTATTAATTTACTTAGAACATAATTTGACAGTTATCCGTAATCGTTGCCATCGCCTTTATTTCTTTAATATAAAGTGTGATTTATACTCGGTCTATACCTAATTATACCTGTTTAAAAATCCGTCCGGTTCGCTTTACGTCTATCCAACCTGACATCCAACAAACAGAACGTAAGGCCTACTATTAATGAACGAGGAATAAGGTTAGACTAGTTACGCCATGTGTTGTTCATATCACTCAAAAGCCATTTTAATTCAATGAACAGAGACAAAACGTGGAGTAACTAATCCAAGCTTATACCTCGTTTAATAATAAAGCGGTAGCAGAGCAGTGTTTCGAACCAAACCGAAACAAAATACTGCTCAATAACCTTATTAGCACGAACTAATATCAAATTCGAATAGTTTGCGAGAGCGAAATGTCAATGTCAAATTTTGTATGGAAACTTGAACAGCAGTGCAACAAAGTACGTAACGAGAACTAAAAATCAGTATACATTTGACAATGACATTTCGTACTCGCAAACGATACGACGTCGATATTAGTTCGTGTTAAGACTACTGTTCTTTAAATTAAAACGTTCTTTTTAATTCATTGTGTTCTTATATTTGCCTGTTATATAACATTAATTATATTATGATGGATGGAATTAATAACACATTTATATGGAAAAATCTCAAAGTTTGCCAGCCAACATATGAAAGTGCTCTTGAGACAGACAACTGCATTAATTTTGTGATACGAAAGCAATAACTCAATAATGATTAGCGAATTATGATAATCACGAACTAAGAATTAAAATGTAATTTGTAAACGTATTTTAAGGTAGATTAATTATTATCAAAACTTGAACGAATCACTAATTTTCGTTTCTTGTTTCCAGGTCTTACAAGACATCAAGGTAAATACAAACACACTGTTTATCTTACAGCTATCACTGATTATTTTTTATTTGCACTGCTAATATTTTATTTTGCTCTTTCACATTTAATTTCTGCACGTCAATCCTTAATTGCCTTTTTTCTCTTCATGTCATCCATCCATCCATCCATCAGCCTTTCTCCGTCCACTGCTGGACATATGGCCTCCCCCATAGAACGCCACAATGCGCGGTCCTGCGCTATCCTCTTCATGTTATTTATATTAAATAAAAGCCTCTTACTAAATAAGATAGAGAGAAACCTAATATAACCTTTTGCGTAAAGTACTGGTAGTTTAATGCTTAAAAAAAATATTGCGATTTCATCAAATGCCAAGAGTTCTTTTCCACATTCTGATTAGTATCTCAATTTAAATATTTGTTTCTTAGGTTTTCACGCACATCACTCATTAAATAAAACTAGTTTTAACGGGTTAATGCACGAAACTTTATTTGTTTATTGACTTAAATTAAGGTTTACAGCCTTTTCAGGTCTGCATCGTCAGAATAATATACCTATTCTTTATATATTTTTTTTATTTAATCTCCATTATATCTTAACTCTTCCATATTTTCGATAAGCTGCCATCTCAACGTCAACTCCTTTCTTTACCAAATTACCTTTTGAACAATTTATCCAACTTACCTTGTAACTTCCTCTTACATATCCATTGACTAGTCTCACTTATCTATTCTGTTCTAAATTTATTTAATTCTTTATTTCAGTTTGAATCATAACCCTAACCTTTTCAAATAGTCTAAATTTTATACATTGTTTTAAACTTTCATGTTCACTAAAATTATAGTCATTATCATCTGCATATTAACGTCCCCATCGCTGGGGCACAGGCCTTCCCTATGGATGGAATAGGGAGATTGGGCCATGGCCCACCACGCGGGCCCAGTGCGGTTTGACGGGTGCTAACGACTGCAGATACAGCCGGAGGAACTCAAGATAGAAGATTTTTGGCCACCCATCCAAAGACCGACTATTGCGAAAGTTGCTTAACTTCAACGATCGCAGCCGAACGCGCTGACCACCTGCGCCATCAAGCTCCTCATTAACATTATAGTAATTTATTTTATTTACGGGATTGTCACCATGTCACCTTGTTGTAAAATAAAATAAAGTTCTAGTTACTCCGTGATCATGGCGCTTACAATACTGACGAAATATCGGAAATTCGCTAAAAAACAAGGTAAATGGTAACAATCTCGTAAAAAATCTCTAAATTTTATTTCCTTATCTAACATTCAGGACATTTTTGGTATAGCTCGCTTATCTCAAAAATTATCTATACCATGACGTTCAGTTTGATGACGGATGATGACATGACTCATCGGTGGTTTCTTATCCACTTAGAGACCTATGGCAAATCTGTTTGACCTCCTCCTTAGAAGTAGTAGTGAAGGGTAATTTATATAAACTGTATTTCAAATAATATGACGACTATATCAAATTAAAATTCAGTTTCCCGTTTCTGAAATTTTGTCGCCTATTTACACATACCAATTCAATTTCCCAGTTCGAAAATTCAAATTCCAGTCCACAAATGAACCCGTTCGAAGTTCAAATTTATTTAAAACTTCATTAAAATTTTCAGTAAATACCAATTTCGTGTACATAAGACACAGCATTCGCGAAGGTTCGATATCTAGGTAGTAGGGGGTTGGGAGGCGACGGCGGTCGATGGGTCATTGACCCCGGACGGAATTCGATGCCCCCCTCCCCCCTCCATACCGCCTTCCACTTATTTATTAATCAAAATGTATACGAGACGAATATTGTTATTCCTTAATATATTTTTTGTTTACCTTGTTAGGCTTGAGTTATTTTTACCAGTATTAAGAGTATAGTCTATCTTTTGTAATGAAGATCGTATCAACACGAATTTTGGGCAAATAGAATCCACATTTAAATGACATAATATATATTCTCACCACACATCCCGTGGGAGTTGGCATAGCATCGAAAGAATAGCATCGTTAAAGATATTATGATTAAGTTATAAATTCACTTGAAGAAAAACTCTACCATACGAGGTCTGCAATAGTGGATTTGAAACAGCTGTCGCAATGGCCGGCCTTAGGATAGGTGACCAAAAAATAGTATCTTGAGCTCCACAGTAATTTGTACCCTTAGCTGCCAAATGTGTACTGATTTTTAGTTCTCGTTACGTCCGTTATGGCGCCGCTGTTCAAGTTTCCATTCAAAATTTGACAATGGCATTTCGCACTCGCAAACTATTCGAATTTGATATTGTTTTGTACTAAGAGTACTGGTGTATCAATAAAACCCGATTGGTCCCGACTACATCAGCTGCTGTAAGCACTGGCCCACATGGTGAGTCATGCATGGCCCATTCTTCCTGTTTTTGCCTAAAATCGTAAAATAATAATGCCTAAAATTCTCTGTACAGTTTTGTTTCTGTAGTGTTTAAGGTTTCCAAAGCTGGAAGATTTAGGAGATGGGACTAGATAAAAAAATAGTTCTGCGGGTTCGAATACCGTCTAAAACCTGAACCGCGTATTTCTTTCTAGTAAAATTTTCTTTAGATAAAAAGAAGGTTTTATTTTCAATACTTTTGACAGTTTACTTTTTTGATCGTTTTTTGGCAAAGCATTCGGGGTTGTACATCATTATGTTATACATTTTTTGTTATATTTATTCCATCCTATTCGATATCCATCATATATTAAAATATTTTTTATTTCCTCAAACTCTTGAAATAGTTTTTTACTTCCTGTTCTGTTAAAAGCTTTCATGTCTCAAGGAGACCGTTCAAAATTTCCGAACCGTTCGATCGTAAAAACTTTACATCCCATCTCATCTGATATTATGGTATATGTATCGCAAGTAACACACACCGACTCAGTTCGGGACCAACCGCTCAGTGAAATTAATAAACGTACGACCGTAATCCATAAATCCATGCCACAAAGTTCATATTGAAGGCGATGTGGAAATCGTTATACTATCTCTTTCCTGTATATATGCCTGTCTGGCTCATGCAACAATCACTGTGCAAGATTCTATTTACAAAACATTTCGAGCGACGTTGCCGTCCCGTTTGCGCATGATTGTGTGACGTCATTCCTTTGACTCTTTTCGAAAGAACTCTTGTTACTCTCCACAACCGAAACCTTTAGGAGAGGTAGGGCTCTCCCTCGGCTTGGAGCGCCCGTCTGGGGAAGTAACCTCCACCTTTAGGAAGATTACGTTAAAAAAACTCTTCCTGTTGGTGATGTTGTACAAAAACTATCACTCGTGTTGTTGCCTACACTGACCCAATCCCCGTCTCCGTGGAACCCAGGAACCATACCCACTGATAGAAACACAGCACCACCAAATGGTAGTGTTATTTAACCTTGTCTTCTGTAATGTTGAGGTCATTTCCCTAGACGGGCGCTCTGATTCGAACGGTGAATCCGCTGTGTCCTAGCTCTCTTATCTGTATTTTTTATGTAATTAGCTAATTAACATAACTTAGGTTTACCTACCTAGCAAAACGAAATCTCTTCAAATTAACTGTCATTCTCATTCAAATTATGATCTCCTTTCTGAATTAAGACCCTATAAATAATGTAACGATGATGTATATATTCACAGGTCGGGAAAACATGAGTAATTTCTAATATCTAACACATCCGAATCCAAAATGCAAACCAACCTTAAATAGTTTTTGACAGACAAAACTGCAAATAGGATTGATTTATGCTTTAATAGATTTTCCTGAGTTCAAAGAGTAAAACTGTATTGGCTGTTTTACCGTAGTTCATATAATCTGTGCTGTTTGTTTCTGGTCTTACTTAACTCACACTTAAAATCATTGTTTGTGTTCATCACTCTTCTACTTTTTCTTGGTCTGAGCTCTTCACACTAGATAGAGCTTTTTGTAAAAAAAGCATGAGTGTCATAGAACACTCATTAGCGTTCTGTACCCAAAGCGTTAAAATGAAACCCTATTTATTGCTGTTACTCTGTCGTGTGTCTGTCTGTCTGTATGTCTGTATGTCACGAGTCTATAGATGGTAAACGGAATGAGTAACAGAACTGAAATTTTTGGTACTACAATTAAAATGCTAGCCGAAAAGCCGAATATTTAAAAAAAATATTGAATTATTGGGTCCCGTACTTAAAAAAGAGACGATATTTTAACCTCTGTCCGCCAAATCCGTGCCGTCCAAAAAGGATATTCGAACCAAAAAACAACGACAAGTTAGGGCTATTCAAGGAGAAATATACCTATAAATGTATTTCTTTATCAAATCAAACTTATTTTGGACTACGAAGCAAACGCACTATCATGTATTTAAGTTGTACGAGTACACGTATAACACATTCAAATACTTTCATGCGGCGGACTTGCAAGTATTACAATGGTGTTTTGGGAGATGTTGATATATTTTGCCTATTTTTGAATATGTATAAATAACTGGTGGATGAACATGTAATCTGTTGAGTCAGAGACCAGCACCTGTGTTGGTAATTGATACTACGGATTGATGGTTTGTCCCTTCGTTTATTGCATTATACCCATAGCATTTGGCTCAAAAGTTGTACTGAATTTCTTTTCTAAATTATGGTGTTGTTCCTCTTCTAGCAAGTTCATTATTATATAAGTTAGTTCACATGTTATGGAACTGTAAGGTCAGTTTGTTACCTTGTAATTGTTCATATGTTATTATGTATGACTGTTTGTTCCTTAATAAATAAATAAAAAAAAACACTCAGGAGGTGGGCATCCTGCCCACAAACATTGACGCTAATAATACTCAGAATGATGATAAAAAATTAGATTAAATTGATTGTAAAGATAATTTTCACATATGTATAGTTATTTCATAAATCATCGATTCGAATGTGACAATTAATGTTATATAATCAATTCGATTAAATGTTATGATTTGTGATGCGCGTGTTTTGAAAACACGTCGCGAACGTAAGCACATGTTGCTGCAATCAAATTGTTATTTAATAA